CCCCACACACACACACACCCCGCCCCGGCCTCACGCGGCGAAGGACGCATGCGCGTTCCCAGCAGCCCCTGCGCCTCCCGCGCCTCTAACCCGACGGGCGGAAGGGGAGCGGCCGTCTCAGGCAGTCCAGCTCCATAGCGGCGGGGAAGTTGTGCCTCAGCTTCCATTCAGAGTAGCTTCCCCCTCTACGCTGAAAACTTGCGCCGAGTGGGCAGAAGGCGGACTGCTTTTGCCTCTGGTACTTCCCCTTTAACTGTAAAGGAGAGAGGCTAGGCCCCGCACAGCATAAGTCCTACTGGACTGATTGGTGGGACCAGATTACAGTAGAGAACCGACCACCAAAGAATCCAGGGTAGTCTCTGGAGAAAGATTTAACTCGAAACTGGGGCAGGCTCCTCCTTTTCCCTAGGCCTCCCGACGTTGCAGGGCGTTCTGGATTAGGCCGGAGCTGGAACGGGACTACATGTCCCAGCATGCACCGCGTGGTTGCCACTCAGAGGACTGAGGCATTCTGGGATTTGTAGTCTCGGGGATGGGTGCTCTGTGAGCCACAAATTGTGCTGAGGCGAACCCAGGCCCCAGGGTAGGGTCTTTCTTACTGTTTGCTCTGTATTGACGGTTTTCACCTGTTGCTTTCTTGGTTCTTTTGTGAAACTCCTTGCTAGCTTCGGGGTCTAAAAACATTTCCTACCCACCCCCAATTCCTTCCTCTGGACATTAAGAATAACTTTGTAACAATGTTTTGCAAATGTAAAAGAGCCAAGCTGGAGAGAAGGTATTTGAAGACTTTAGGTTTGACCCACAATCTTGCTGGGATGTAAAAGAAAATTCCATCTGCTTTCCTTTCCCTAATCGTAACCTCGAACTGGCACCTGTAAACTAAGGCCTAGTCTCAGGTTTGTGGAAGAACTTTTGACAGGTTATCTCTAAGCCTTGGTAGGCGAAGGGGTTAGAGTACTTTGGAAAAGACTCCCCAGAATAACCATTAAACCCACCAATTACAAACACAAACTATTGCTGGAATATAGGTCAGAAAAAGAAAAAAAGTGAAGGCCAAAGTTGGGACAGTGCAATTAGGTCTAGAATGAGGAGACAAACTTGACAGGTAATTTAGGGTGTCAGATTGATATAGCTTAATAGTGATATTATATTAGGGAAATTAAATTGCAAGAAACAGAAGCCACTTTTTTTTTTTTTTTGCCAGTCCTGGGGCTTGAACTCAGGGCCTGGGTATTGTCCTGAGTTGCTTTTGCGCAAGGCTAGCCCATCCACTTCAGCCACAGCGCCCCCTCTGGCTTTTTCTGTCTATATGGTAGTGAGGAATCAAACCCAGGGCTTCAAGCATGCTAGGCAAGCATTCTACTGTCAAGCCACATTCCCAGCCCAGAAGCTACATTTTGAGAGGTCAAATTGGGAATCTTTATTAGAAATTAGGCAACTGGAGGTAGACTCCTATCTCCAAGAACTGCAGCCCAGAATGTAGCTTGTACAAAGCTTTTAAAGACAAACACTTGTTTGGGGTGGAGGCCCAAGCCCAACAGAAGCAAACCATATAGGGGAATACTCGATGAACAAAGCCAACCATTTAGGGAAACATCTGGTAAGCAAGACCATCTAGGGAAATACTCAGGGGGCGAGTAGTCTCTATAGCAAAGCTCTCCTGGGGCTAAATAACATGATATCTGCATATTAAAGAATAGCCTATTTCACCTGTAGGCTTATCAGAGCTGGGTGAAGACCACCCAGCAACAGGCCATGTTACTTAGACCCAGTATCCTCACTTCAGTCTGCCCTGTATTTCTTCACCTCTGCCTGGTGCTCACAGCCAGCTCCCTGTCACCCTTTACATCTCTCAACACTGGATGGTATTGTGAATATTAACATGCTGTCAACTACTGTATGCTCCTTTTTTCTCTGTGTGTGTATGTATGCTGTTTCTGGAGCTTGAACTCAGGGTCTGGGTACGGATGTCCCTTAGCTTTGCCGCTCATGGCAGGTACTCTACCATCCTACTGTAGCTTTCCTGCCTAGGCTGGCTTTGAACCTCCAGAGCCTTGCAGGTGTGACCTGCCAGCGCCTGATTTATATACTCCTTTTTCTAACGGGTAATTTCTACCAAATGAAAGAAAAATTACCACAGAAGAAGCAGATTTAGAAGGGATGGGAAAGTGGCTCAGTGGTAGAGTGCTTGCCTTACATTCATGAAGCCCTTGGTTCGATTCCTCAGCACCACATAAGCAGAAAAAGCCGGAAGTGGGGCTGACGCTCAAGTGGTAGAGTGGTAGAGTGGTAGTCTACAGCAGAAGAGCTGAGGGACAATACCCAGGCCCAGAGTTCAGGCCCCATGACCTACCAAAAAAAAAAAGGAGATAATGATTTACATTTTTGTTGTGTTACATTTCAGGTGCATCAAAATGCACTTGTCATAACAGCAAACAGGAACCTCCAGCATCTTGAATTTCAGTCTCCACGGGCTCATTCTTACCAGCATTTGAATATACTATAACATCTCCCAAATTTAACAAGCCATCTCACCTCCCACATCCCTCTCAAAGCTTCAGTTTTATTTCTCTGTTCCTCTTTATAACAAAACTCCTGGGGAGGTGGGGAGTATTCTCCAGTTCTCTTCCTTAAGCCTGTTTCAAACCAGGCTGTTGCCTCTATTACTCTCAAAACAGGCAAAAAATAAAAATTAGTTTCAATTTAAAGCTCTTCACTGGCTTTATTTGCCATTCTAGAATCAGGCAACACTTCAATCCATAAGACAGCATTCCAATTAGTTAAGCATATGAGGTTGGTTTTGTAGCCCCAGTGTCTAAAAGGGTGAGGAGACAGCCAGGCATCGGCGGCTCACGCCTGTGCCTGTAATCCTAGCTACTGAGGAGGCTGAGATCTGAGGGTCGCAGTTCAAAGCCAGCCCAGGCAGGAAAGTCCATGAGACTCTTATCTCCAATAAACCACCAGAAAACCGGAAGAGGTGCTGTGGCTCAAGCGGTAGAGCACTCCCCTTGAGCTGAAGAGTGCAGAGTGGTGAGAAAGAAGATTCTGCTTATCTCTCTGAAGGTCAGATAACTTATTTTGGGTTTGGTGGAACTTTGACTACATCTTGACTTTTTTTTGGTGCCAGTCCTGGGGCTTGAAATCAGGGCTTGAGCATTGTCCCTGAGCTTTTGTGTTCAAGGTTGACTACCACTACAGTCACAGCTCCACTTCTGGCTTTTTGATGATTAATTGGAGATAGCCTCTGATCCTCGGATCTCGGCCTGTTGAGTGACTGGGATTGCAGATGGGAGTAGCTTGCATTTTGACTTTTAGTTTGAACCTTTGGGACTGAGGTCTTCTCAGGAGAACAGCCTCCCTCTCCCCCACTTCTTCTTCATGAAGACAGAACATAGCCTTACCAGAAATCATCTGCCTGAAACTAGTGATCACCTGACTTCCTATCAATCACCTGACTGTCAGTCAGCAATGGACCCCAGGCTCTGAGGTCACTTTCTCACTTGCTGAGGTCACTTCCTGAACTGCTTGGCCACACCTCTTTCAGACAGTGAGAGGTTCCCCAGACTCTGAGATCACGTCCATATCTGCTGTGGTCACTACCTCCTCCCTTTCCCTATATAATTCCTGAAGGCACCCATCCCAGAATACCACAAGGACACAATCATGGACAGGTGAAGGTTTATTAGAGAGGCTAACAAGGCCATCTCCCTCACAGGAGAGTGAGCAAAATGATGTCTGTCCCTATTCAGGGGCATCCTTATAACATTGGGGCTTGAGACAGGAGGTACTCTGCATGCACAGCTAGGTGCATGGGAGTGGAGACCTATTCTGGAGAAACTGGTGGGAGGCCCAGGAGAGTTCTCTTTTCTTTTTGAAGAGCAAGGTGGAGTTCAGGTTTGAGTGGAGAGCATTCTGCTGGTGCAGCTGGGGGGTAGAGACACTAGCTGCTCCTGGAAGTGAAGTGGGAGGGCTGAGGGCCTGAGATGGAGGGTAAGCTAACAATCCCACAGTCCCCTCCCTCTTCTCTCTGCCCCTCCATCTCTTGCAGGCTGGCAGTTTGCTGTCCCTCCCCGCCCCCCCCATAAACTCTTTTTTGCCTGAACCATGTGGAAGTCTCCTTTCACCAAACCTTACAGGGACCTGTGCAGGAAACTAGTCTAAAACATTGGCTTCCTGTTATTATTTTTTTTTTTGGCTACCTATAACTTAAACATCATGAAGATTGCCAGTATTCTGCTTTGTTGTTGTTGTTTTGGGTCATAGGTTTTGAACACTAGCCCAGTGCTCTTCAGGCTCAATGCGAGCGCTCTACCGCTTGAGCCTCACCACTACTTCTGATTTTCTAGTGGTTTTATTGGAGGTAAGAGTCTCACAGACTTTCCTGCCCCAGCTGGCTTTGAACAGTCATCCTCAGATCTCAGCCTCCTCAGTAGCTAGGATTACAGGCATGAGCCATCGGTGCCCGGCTGTATTCCTCATTATTAAATTACTAATCAGCTCATGCTCTCTTACTAGACCTAGCACCTTCCCTTACTTAAGCTTTGCTCTTAGAAGTACTTTCTGAATTCAAAGGACAGTACATTTTCCTCGTTTTTCTGTTAGTGGCCATTCCTTTTCTTTGCTGTCCTTGAATGGTCTCAGCGTCAGGCCTTTGGGCCTCTACCTGCCCCCTGAGTCATTCACCATCTTTCATGGCTTTAAATATCTTC